ATGTCTATTTCTAGCTTTCTGAGGAAGCGCCATATCATTTTCCAAAATGGTTGTATCATTTTGCATTCCCACCAGCAGTGCATAAGAGTTCTGATCTCAATTTTGGTGTGTTTTTATCGTGATTTTTATCTTTCGGCTTTTTAAAAATTTCTTTACAATAGAGAGGACTTGTTTATGGTTCTTATTAAGATAGTATTTGTTTTGTTTTGACCCCATCAGTGTCCACCTTATTTATCCAATTTTGTAGTATCTTTTAAACATCTTTGCCTGGTTGGGAGGAGTCTCTCAACTCTTTCGTTTGTCTTTACTATTCTCATGGTAATCGATTGAGTCTTATTTTCTTAAATACAACATTTTCTTTAACAGTTTTATAGATACACCCATCAAATCTTAGCTAACCTTTTTTTTTTCTTTTTAACTTTTATTTCCATCTAGGTTTGTCCTGTTGTTGTTGTTATGTGCTGTTGAGATGGTTCTGACTCCTAGGGACCCTGTGAACAACAGAATGAAACATGACCCGGTCCTCTGCCATCCTCACAATCGTTACTGTGCTTGAGCCCATTGTTGCAGCTACTGTGTCAGTCCATTTTGTTGAGAGTCTTCCTGTCTTTCGCTGACCCTCTACTTTATCAAGCATGATGTCCTTCTCCAGGGATTAGTCCCTCCTGATAACATGTCCAAAGTACGTGAGATGAAGTCTCGCCATCGTCACTTCTAAGGAACATTCTGGCTATATTTCTTCCAAGACAGACTTGTTTGTTCTTTTGGTAGCACATGGTGTATTCAGTATTCTTCACCAGCATCATAATTCAAGGCATCAGTTCTTCGGTCTTGCTTATTTGTTGTCCAGCTTTTGCATGCATATGAGGTGATTGAAAATACAGTAGTGTCCCACCTTATTTTCGGGGAATACATTCCAAGACACCCCACCCCATGGATGCCTGAAACCGAGGATAGTACTGACACTTGTATGTATGTACTATGTTTGGTCCTATACATACATACCTATGATGAAGTTTACCTTATAAATTAGGTACAGTAAGAGACTAACAACAATGAATAATAATAAAATAGAACAATTATAACAATATACTGTAATAAAAGTTATGTGAATGTGGTCCCCAGGTGAGACAGAGTGGGATGGCACGAGATTTCATCATGCTACTTGTTTAACATTTTTTGGACCAAGGTTGACCGCGGGTAGCTGAAACCGTGGAAAGTGAAACTGCGGGTAAGGGTGGGCTACTGTACCACAGCTTCGGTCAGGTGCGCCTTCGCCCTCAAAGTGACATCTTTGCTTTTTAACACTTGAAAGAGGTCTTTTTGCAGCAGGTTTGTCCTATGCTTCCCTTTTTCTCATTCTGGAACAACCAGATTTTTCACTTTAGGACAAAATTACTCTCTTTTTCCCTTAACAAAACACATCTCGTATATTCAGTCTAGCCTAAGTTACTTAAAAAGATCTAGGAAACTGCCTTTAGTCAACATACTACAAAACATAACCTTTGTCAGAACAAATTCACTTTCATTAATTCCTGGGAATATTAGGACTGTTTATATAAGCAATTATTTATCTCTAAACCAATTAGAATAAAGCTTTATGAAGGAATATTATAATTTAATTTGATAATACCACCAAGGGGTAGGAAAATATTACATTTTCATAACCCTGTTTTCTGTCCGCTTTAAAGAATCTTTTAGAGAAGCAATTTAGAATAATGTTTGTCTTTTGAAGCCTAGTTAAACCAATCAAAATAAACTATCCATCCTTTTTAGTATACTTTTCAAATGAACCAGTTTATGTCAAAGATTGTTTCAAAGCTGGTGAAGGCCCAATCATTCTTAGTAAATTGCACCATTTAGAAAGGCTCACATAGGAAGCTGTTTCTCTGGGAAAGGAAGGAATTGAGACTTAAAATGACCTGTTGAAAGCTGGCCAATTCAACCTTCCCCATACTACCTGAAGGCAGGTGAGAAAACCCAGACAGAACGCTCTCTCTAGATCAGAGCCAGCCTCTCAGGACCAAACGAGACAGAAAGGAGAACCACAAACTCACTGGTCTGTGAGGCCGGCTGAAACAACCAGGCTTCTACTTTATGGTTGTCCTTTCTATGACAACAGTTTTAGACATCCCCACACTTTTAAATAATACATCAGAAAACAAAGCAAATAGGGAATCCAGTTTCCTAAAATGTCTACTGAAACTTCAAGTTGTCCACCCATTTCAACAGAAAAAACCAGGTTCTAGATCCATAATTTTAAAACTTACTAACTTATCAGAACAGTGTTTACATAACAGTTTGCCCTAAAACACAGCTTCTAGTCTGACTTTGAAGTTTCTGTTTCTGGAAACTGACTGCACGTAGATAGAACTTCTTCGAAAGAGCACAAAGCCTACGACAGAACGGTCTTTACTATTGTTGACTTAAAGGTGACTTTTAGGAGACCAGTTTCATCAAGGTTCAAAGATTTATCTCAGGGAAGATAGCTTGGATGGGTCACCCCCACCTCCATGAAGCCCAGAAATCTGGATTCTATGAGAATGAAAATTCTGTTTTTCACTATGAAAGAAACTAAAAAGCACAAGAACTTAACACTGCATCACTCGAGGTTTACTTGGCTTTGACCAGAGAGCCATTGTTGGTTGTTTAGCTCTGCAGTTGTACAAATTGCTTTATTCTGAAATGTTTGTGTTTGCCTTTCAGAGGTATATGGAGGTCAGCGGGAACTTAAGGGATTTGTATGACGATAAGGATGGGTAAGTGACATTCACAGTCAGTCCAGGAATTAGTGCTTTTGAGGAGCCATGGTTAAAGGACTGACTTTGTGCTGTATGCACTTTGGATTTTTCCTGAATCTGTAGGTTACGAAAGGAGGAGCTCAATGCCATTTCAGGACCAAATGAGTTTGCCGAATTCTATAATAGACTCAAGCAAATAAAGGAATTCCACCGGAAGCACCCAAATGAGGTATAGATTATTTCAGTATTCTTTCCTAACCTATTCAAAAAGCACGCCAAAGAAAAGGTGTAAGGAAAATGGAGATGCACCACTCAGACGTCCCTTCAAAACAGAATTTGCCATTTAACTAAAAGTGTAGTTAGGAGACAGCCTACAGGTGTAGTGCTGTTAGTATTCCACTCAGCTTTTAAGCCAAAGCCTTACTCTTTGGGCAGGGCCCAGCCAGTGAGTGAGTACAGTGGGAGTACTAGAGCCCAGCCATTTCTGCCCAGTGGGGGACTTCTCTCATGAGTAGTCTTTGCTGCAGAGCCCCCTGTTGGATGGGTGAAGATTTTGTCTGATCTCCATCGATGTCTAGGCTTTTCACTTCCCCAATCCTGCTTTCTCCTAGAGTTCTCATAGAGTTCTGAGAAACAGAGAGTGTGAAGGGAGAATGTCAGTGCTTAGCTATTTGGGGCACACTCATAATAAGGTACTTAAAGGAAAAGGAGCCTGGAAAGCCTTCCATCACAGATTAAATGATAGCTCCAGGTAGTGTTGTCTTACTGCAGCTATGCAGAAGAGTTTTATAAAGAAAGTCACTGGTATCAGCTGTTGATTGGTAGCTGCCAGGATTGCTGTTTCATTGAAGTAGTGGGAATAGAAATCTGGTCACGGGTAAAGGCAGGTAATGAGGAAGTATGGACATTTGAAAGGCTGGCAGAAAAAGGAAGAAGAGAAACAGAAGAGTAGTAAGAAATATATGGAAGATATGGATATTTACAAGATCAGACAGACAGTTAAGATATTAAAAAGGAGAGACTATTAAATTAGTGTGCAGGTAGATGATGTTACCCACACACGTACAGATATATTGCCCTCCTCTCTTGAAGGGTAAAGTATGAGGTCTTCTGTTAACCAAGAGAGAACACCTTATTCCAGCCCTTGTAGAATGGTAATAAGGAATAAATGGTTAAATAAATGATTGGAAGGACACACAAGATATGTAAACTGAAGGAAGCAAGTCCATTTACGTGAAAAACAAGGTAAAAACGTATACATGCATGTGAGGGTGTATGCTTAAACAAACACGTATTAAATAAGTGGAGCAGTGGTTTTCAAATTTTGCTGCACATTTGAATCACTAGGGGGTATTGTAAAAGTACTGATGCTTACCCCTCACCCATTCTGATTTAATTGGTATGAGCTGTGATAATGGGCATCAGGATTTTTTTAAGTTGCCCAAGTAACCTAATGTACAACAGTTTGGGAACCTTTGGCCAAAAAAAAAAAAAACACCTGGAAATATATAGCCTAGATTGTTAATATTAGTTACCTCTTTGGAAGAGAATTACTAAAGGAGGCTTTTCACTTTTCACTGAATCTTTTTGTATTGAGTTTTTGTGAGCATGTGTTACTTTAGCAATTCTTAGTCAATACCAAAAAAAGGAAAAGAAAGCAAAGTAATTGGAAAACAGTAGTAGGCCCCTATTGAGAATTCGAGGCCAAATAAAGCATCAGAAGTCCAACTTTCTGTATCGCCCATTCCTTTGACATTGCAGCTTTTTTGAAGGATCCATCTAAACTTTCCTCTTTTGCCTCAGATCTGTGTGCCAATGTCAGTGGAATTTGAGGAGCTCCTGAAGGCTCGAGAGAATCCAAGTGAAGAGGCACAGAGTAAGTCGGGTTTAACATTTCTTCTATAGCACTAGCAGAAGTGTAGGCTTTTGCCATCTGAGCCCTGGAAAGCAACGCCCCAGAGGAAAAAAAAAAATTTAATTGAATTCACCAATTCAGTGGTTTGCCCAGAGAAATTTTTGCCAGTTTCTCTTCCTTGTTTTTTCTTTGCTGATTCCTGGACTAGATTGACATCCAAAATTGGCCTTTGGCAAAATGTTCCTTTTGTGCTAGCCTAGTTCAGATTCACTGGCCCAGAGAGCCGAGCTCAGTTCACCATGGGAGTATAGGGAGGACATTTTGATGAAGAGCTGCCTCATGCAACAAGGAGCAAACAGTCCATTTGCAAGGGCTAGTCCAAGAAAGTGGTCTTTCGTTGTCCAAGTCATTGATGTCTCTGATTTCCTTCAGACTTGGTGGAGTTCACAGATGAAGAGGGATATGGTCGTTACCTTGATCTCCATGACTGTTACCTCAAATACATTAACCTGAAGGCATCTGAGGTAAGGCATGGGAGAGGTGAGGGTGATCTGCTTCCAGTGGTAAGTTAGGATACTGGGCTGGGCTACTAGACATGAAGCAGTTAGAGTGTCTTTCTTATGTTCTGTAACTATATATTATATTAAAGAGGTTATAGGCTTCCTTGGAGTGAAACCATATTCAAATAAAAGTCAGGTTCTGTAATGGATACACAAGCACATTATTACTTTTGTAAAAACTAAAAAAAAAAAAAATTGAAGCCACAAGTACCTATCTTCATCTCCTATGTTATGCACACACAGTACAAGGTACATAGCAGATACAAAAATATAATATCTACCAGCAAAGGACTATCTAAAAGTGTAAATAAGACATTAAAAATAACTTATTATAAGAGATGAAGTTTAATATGACAGTCTTAGAAGGCACAAGGAAGTATATGATTAAGTTCCTCGTGGAGTTGTGAGGAAATGTCCAAAAGTGCAGTGACTAAACTTTAAGCTCTATGAGGGGAGGTCCCTGGGCTGACTTGTTTTCTGCTATATCCCCAGTACTTGATACAAAGATGCTCAGTAAGTGGTTGTATGAGTGAATAAACGGCACCTTTCAGGACCTTTAGGGTGTAATAGATGTCAGAGTCCTTACCCAAGTGCCAGCATGCAGTTTGTGTTCAGTAAATGTTTGTTCTAGTTTACTGTTCATTAACTTGACCATTATTTTGCAGAGTTAATTATGTGTCTGATATTCTTCTCAGTCCAGTGGAATTCATACCCCACTGGACTGAGAAGGAGTTGAATGATGGGAAATAAAAAGACTAAAGTGAGCTGGGTGGACCTTGTTATTTGTTAGGGAACACTCCGTTTTGATCTCGCTTATTGAAGATTAATGTTGTAATTGAATCTTATGTCATCTCTTTTCAGAAGCTGGATTATATCACATACCTATCTATCTTTGACCAGTTATTTGACATTCCTAAAGAAAGGAAGAATGCAGAGTATAAGAGGTAGGCATTAATAGTTTCTAGGCCTCTGCTGGATTGATTAGAAGATTATTTAATATGAAGGTTTAAGGGCAAAGTTCTAAATTTTATCACCTGAAAGGCATATGTGACTTCCAGTTTTATTAGAGAATAGGGATTTGGAATGACATAGTTTTAAAACATTTGTAGTACTCTGGCTCTGGAAGAATGTGTATCTATGGGCACATCTATGATCTTATGCCCATGCTGTTCTTAAATTTGTCTTTGGATGTAGAAAGAAGTCTCCCATCCAGGGACCTCTGTCTCTTTGGAGTTTAGTGGGAGAAAATGACACATTCTCAGATTGTGATTGAACTGAGGTGCCTGGGTCTGATATGTAAAAGGGAAGTTATGTTTGTGTTAATCTGCCCCTGGTTAGTGATCTATATCCCTAGCTGCTTCTCTTTTTTAGGTTTTCTTCTTGACCTGAAATCTTTTATGTATAGAATTAATTAAAACTTTAGTATTTGGAATTGTGTCATGAGGCTGAAAAGAGGTAGAAAAGGTCAGAATCAAAATGATATGTTGGGAAAAAAATCATTTATGAGCTCGTTTGAAAAACTAGTATTACTAGTTTAAAAAACTAATACTACTAGAATTACAAATGCATTCTGGAGAGCATAACAATACATCAAAAATGGAAACCTTCTTAGCTTTCTTTTTATTGTGTGTTTCTCTGTAGATACCTAGAGATGCTGCTTGAGTACCTTCAGGATTACACAGATAGGGTGAAGCCCCTCCAAGATCAGAATGAACTTTTTGGGAAGATTCAGACCGAGTTTGAGAAGAAGTGGGAGAATGGCACCTTTCCTGGATGGCCGGTGAGCTTCCATGCAGGTGTGGGTGGAAGACATGCCAGAGAATTGAACGAATTACTTTCCCTGTATGTTTTTTTTTTAAATATTTTTTTATTTTTTCCCATAAAAAAATTTATACATAGTTACATGACTAATTGATCTCCCCATACTGTGACAGCATACTCCTCCTTTCCACCCCTGATTTCCCATGTCCATTCAACCAACTCCTAACCCTCTCTGCCTTCCCATCTCACCTGCAGACAGAAGCTGCCCATTTAGTCTGTTGTATCTACTTGAGCTGAGAGGAACACACACGAGTATCATTTTATGTCCCACAGTCCAGTCCAATCCCTGTCTGAAGAGTTGGCCTCGGAAATTGTTTTAGTTCTGGGCTGATAGAGAATCCAGGGGCC